ATTACAGAGGGCACTTGGGTGGCTCAGTCGTTGGGCGTCTGCCTTTGGCTCGGGTTGTGATCCCAGGATCCTGGGATCAAGTCCCGCATCAGGCTCCTTGCTCAGCGGGGAGCCTGCTTCTCCCTCTGCCGCTCCCTGCCACTCTGCCTGCTTGTGATTCCTCTCTCTCTCTCTCTCTGTGTCAGATAAATAAATAGAATCTTTAAAAAAAAAAAAAAAAAAGGAAACTCCCCTGTGATTCTGATGCAATGATTCTGGAATCACACTTTAAGATACATAACATTAAATCATTGTTGGTGGCTGTAGTCTCATATTTTCATGTGGACTAGGAATTCAATTTCAGTGAAAATAGGGTTTGGGGTTTTTGGCATTTTTGGGGGGGAAGCATTTGTGGTTTTATAAATGTTGTCTTACTTGAACCTGAGAAACCAGTGTCTCTGGCTAACATTTTCTGAATATTTATAACATGTCATTGTTTAAGGAATTTCTGTGTATGAACTCACACATGCCTCAGACACCTATGAGGTAAGTGCAATTACTCCCATTTCACAGATAAAGAAATTGAGGCACAAGAGGTTGAGTAAATTGCCAAAGTCACACAGCTAAGAAGGATTCAAACCTTATCATCTGACTCCAGGTTTAGCCCTTATACTATGTTGCCTCTCTTCATTTGAACTCAAAGGGGCTCAATCTATAAAGGAGTTGGTTTGGTCATAAATAATAGGATCTCTTTGCCCAGCTCAGGGGAAAGATTGAAACTAAGCACCTCTTGTCATTACAATTTGATAACATTGCGGAGTAGGTCTGAATGTAAGGGTAGCAGATTTCATGCTAGTCATAGTGTGCTATTAGCTGTGTATATTTACTTTATGTGAACTAGTGATAAGATAAAATAATCTTTAAGAGGCTTTTTTTTCCATGTATTTCTTGTTGAAAAGTCCCTCAGGGGATCATTCAGCAACACTGAATTAAAAAGCTAAAAAAACCTCAAAGTGGAGCTTTCTTTAAATGAATCTAGTAAAATAGTTACCATGTTGGGCAACATTTCAAATGTCTCCTAGAACCCTTATACTCCACAATTTTTAAATGATGAAAACAAAACTAATACATTTCTGAAAAAAATTTATAAAATTTTCAGTTAATATATGTATTCATGCAATAAGCACTTATTAAATACTATGTGCTAGGATTTGTGCAATACACCGGACAATAAGTTACCATTTACTGAACTTTGATGTTGGTGTTTTTCTTCCCATTTTTTAAAAAAGATTTATTTATTTGAGAGAGAGAGTGTGTGTGTGCATGTGCGCACAAACCTGAGCGGCAGAAGGAGGAGAGAGAATCCCAAATGGACTCCAAGCTCACCACAGAGACCGATGCCAGCTTCCATGTGGGGTTCTTGAACTCACGACCTTGAGATCATGACCTGAGTTGAAACCAAGAGCTGGACACTTGGACTCTTAACCAACTGCGCCACCCAGGTGCTCCTCTTCCTATTTTATTGCTGAAGACATGGTGAAGTTAAGCATTTTTCTGGAAGATCTCAAGTCACACAGTGGCAGAGCCGTATTTGAATCCTCATCTATTTGGTTCCAAAGCTGGGCTATTCCATTAACTCCAGTAATTTGAATTACAGATGGATACTTCACTAAATGAATTACTACAGGAGTCCTGTAAATGGTGAGCTTTCATAGGACTCTTTATATTGAATTCTTCTTACCATGTTCAAGAATAAACCTATTATGAAAACCATACCACCACAGTGCTTTATGCAGGGTAGAGCTCATTAAATGTTGCTGAATGAATGTAGCTTATATAGGTTAGCTTTGGAGTTATATATGATTAGATTAAAGCTCTCCATTTTACTCTTTAAGCTACACCTTGGTTATTTGTAAATCCAGGAAAAGTACTTCTTTGTCTTAGAACCACTGAGGAATAAATGAGATAATGTACATGCAACATCCAGCACTCAATAAAAAGCAGTTAAAAAGCGATTTTATAATCTTGAAATGATTATGTTCAGGCAATAAATTGGGATCCTAGGTAGGTATTAGGTGGACAGGTCTAACACTTATTAGACAGAAGGAATCATTAGGACTACTGGGGGCACGTAGGAGAAAGGAGTCATTGAGAGACCTAAGATTATAGGCTTGATATTTGCTGAGCAATGGTGTGGTTAAAAACAGAAATGGGGAAGTTAGAAGCTATACTGGATTGAAGGTGAAAGGCTTTTCATGATGTTCTGCGGAGAAAAAGAGATATAGGATTTGAAGAGGCAAAGAAGACAAATTGTATATCGGTTGAATGATTAGAGGAAAAGATGGATGAATTAACACATAAAAAAATTAATTCAAAATGTACCTATAAAAAACAACAAAATGCTGTTATTGAGTGCCAGGTACTATGAATTTATTGCCTAGTAAGAGAAGATCTATGGTAGTAGTTCCAGAATTTCTATAAAAGAGAAGCTTGCTGATAGCAATCTCTTCGGAAGGGTGTGGAGAGAGGTGTCTGGGTGGGGAAGAGGATTTGACTTGACTCTGTAATCTCCTTAGATAAAAAAAATACCAAAAAAGAGGGAGGGGCACTGATTGAGATTAGGCTAGAACTAATTCTCCTCAGACTAACCCTCAACTCTGTTATTCAGACATATGTAAGTAAACAATAATAGGGCATCTGGCTGGCTCAGTTGGTAAAGCGTTCGACTCTTGATCTCAGGGTTGTGAGTTTGAGGTCCACACTGGGTGTAAAGATTACTTAAAAATAAAATCTTTAAAAAAATAACTAAACAACAATAAATTAATGAGATATGTATTTTAACAGGTTTCCAAAAAAAACTATATAAGCGAGGAGGTAGAAGCATTTAATTTTCCTTGGGGAAAGAGTAGATAGAGGAAGGATTTAATGAAAAGGTGTGATTTTAATCTACTCCTATTTATCACACTGGAAAAAGGAAATTAATGTTCTAAAGGCAAGGAACACAGATGTTCAAAGACCAAAGAGTTAGAGATCCTGGCAGACTATTCAAAACTTGGCTGAAGTGGGGATAAGGCTGGAGATGAAGGGTTAGCAGTCGCCCAATCATCACAGGCCTACATGTTATATCAAAAGTTTAGAAATTCACCCTATGATTGATGGGAACCACTGAAGGATTTCAGTCCCGGGAGTGACAATGATAAAATACTACGAAACATTTTAGGAAGATCATAGGACTATGCCTTTGAAAGAGGTACAAGCGACATGACCACCCCATCCTCTTCTTTATAAATGAAATATAAGGAAAAACATGACTAAAACAAAGTCCATATTCTCAAGGAATTTACATTCCCATGGGGACAGACAGACAATAAAAAATAGATATATAATGCAATATTCACATAGTGGTAAGTATTGGAAGAATAAAGCACAGGAAGGCACAGAGGATTAGGCGGAGGTACTGTCTTAAGGCAAACTCCGTGTTCTCACTAATCTCATCTCATAGCCACCATAAAAAAATATGGTTTCAAGATCTTCTCTCACTTTACAACATCTCTACTATATTGAAATCTTAATATTGCAAAATAGTCCATATATCATTTATTATCTCATAACTTCTTTACTTTCTTATATATCTGTGTTATCTTGCCAAAGCCCACAAAATGAGCACTTTGCCCTCTGATGTTTATAGAACTCATTATCAGGCTGCACTGAAAACCTTTCTTTACCATCACTTCCACAGTGTCTCTACATTGCACCCAGACCCAACTCTTCACCGTTTTAAGTCTTTAATTTCCATAGCTTGGTTTACAAGATCTGTAGGTCTCCTTCCTTTTCTTCCTTCATTTTTTTGCTTAAGAAACATATTCTGTAGTGAGTGCTTAGTTTGACAGACACTGGCTAGGGGCAGAGAAGGGCAAAATGTGGCCCTGACCTCTGGAGCTGATAGTTGTACTGTGGAAGTGGAAGCTTGAGGGGTGGGGGATCAGAAACCTGTGAGGCCAAAGTGGAAGAACCATTTGCTTCTGAGCCTTAGACGCCTGGATTCAAGTTGATATAATCCTGCGTGATGTGGACAGGGCTCAAAGGCTGAGGAAAAGGGGCACAGCATATTAATTGTTCGTCAAGGGATGCCTGGGTGGCTCAGTAGGTTAAGCGTCTGCCTTTGGCTCGGGTCATGATCCTGGAGTCCCCAGATGGAGCCCCAAGTCAGACTCCCTGCTCAGTGGGGAGTCTGCTTCTCCCTTTCCCTCTGCCCCTCCACCTGCCTGTGCTCTGTCTCTCTCTTTCTAATAAATAAAATCCTTAATAAAAAAAGTAATTGTTCGCCAAGGGTTTACGGTCCTTTCTCCACCGTCAGGAAGTCCTGGCCAAGTCCCACCCTTCAACACCTGGGGCCTAAATAAAAGAATGCAGATCTTTGGGAGCTACCTAAATCTACTGAATCACAATGTCTAAGGGCGGGGCCCAGATATCTGCAGTTTAATAATGAATACCCCCAGGCCATTGTTATGTACACTTAAAATGTGAAAACCAAAGGCTTCTCCTACCTTTTCTCACTTCCCTTTCACCTTAAGTAGTTACCATTATCATCCCTATTTTCTCAAGGAGGAAATTGGGGCATAGAAAGGTTGGTTAATTTGCTGAAGTCACACAGAGCTAGGGTTGGAATCTACACCAACCGAGATGCAGCTCCTAGTCTTAAACATTACAGTGCGGTCATCTCTTGCTAAATAATTTGTTGCTAAATACTTCAAGAAGCACAGGATTTCTTTGAAAAGAGTCTGAAGGCCCACTAAATTTAGTCTGATGAACGTTGGCGATTCACTCACATTTTGAATTTTAAGTCCCTCGCCGGTAAAATTTAGGTCAAAACACCCCCACCTATAATACGCCCCTGATGGCCTAGGCGAAGCAGCCCACTGGGCAGGGGGGGCTATCGATGACTTCGGCGCGCCTCTGCCTGTTGGATTGGCTCGAGGCTCTTCCGCCAGGCCTGCCCTACTCCCGCGCGCTCGTGGGCCCGCCCCCGCCGCCATCTTGGTCTAGGAGGGAGCGGGCCGCACGCGAGAGTAAACAGCCCGAGCCGGGGAAGTCGAGTTCTGGCTCCGTCGGGGTGCCGCGGGGCAGCCGCGGAGAGGACGCAGTCCTGATCTTCGTACGTGGGCTAAGTATCGGGGCCACTGTGCTGGGCCCTGGCGACCCTCAGTTTAGCGCCCCCTCCGCCCCCTCGCGGTGAGATGCCTCGCTCCCCGGGCTTCTCCCGCCCCCCGCGGGTCTCCTCCCACTGTTGAAAGCTGCCCGGGAAAGTGGTGGCGGGAGCGGGCCTGGGCCGGAGCGCAGCGTGGGCCCGGCTGTGTGTTGCAAGGCGCAGGAGGAGGTTAGGGTCTTGGATTTGGGGGCCAGGGGCCGGGCGTGTGGACCCGGTGGGACTGTGAGGCCGGGGGCGGGCGCGCGGGTCTGGGGCCCGCACTCGGACCGGGACGCCACGGGGCTGCTGCCATCGGTCATTGGGTTTTCTCCTCTTCCGGTCCGTGCCTCAGGGTGGCCGACATGACGGCCCCGGGTGAGAGCCCCCTGGCGCCGCTGCTGGAGACTTTGGAAGACCCTTCCGCCCCCCATGGAGAGCAAACCGACGCTTACCTGACTCTGACCAGGTAAGGCCCGCTGGGGTTGGGGGTGAGCGCTCTGGAGGGTCTTGGGAAGAAGATAGTTCTTCTTCCCAAGTGTGTATCCTAGGAGTCTGGCAGCGGTGAGGACGCCGCGGTCGCGGGCAAGGTGGGGGGAGGTGGTGCGTGCTAAGTGACGTTCCCGGGTGTTGCTGCAGAGCTCCAGGCGTGTGTTTGGAATGAGGAAGCCTGCACGTGTGTTTGGTTGGCGAAGGATTTTTTTTTTTTTTTTTTTTTTAAAGTTTGGTTGGAAGTGGGCATGCTGGCGGGATGCCGTTTTCAGTGTAAGCCGCCCAAGTATCGGGACAGTGTGGCAACTCAGAATCTCTAGAGCAATAACCCGGATTTCATTTGTAACTGTAAATGCCTCACAATATTCTTTTCTCTGAAAATCCTATTTTGCTGAGTTATCTACTTATTTGGAAATGCTCGCAAAGGGTAGCAATTGGTACAAAACGACAAAAATTTAGTAAATTTTTGGTAAATTTGTAATTTGGTTAAGGTTTCCGTGTTCCCTCTTTACGTGATGATATTGTCCAAACGTGTACGCTGTGGAGCAAGTTTTTCTTAAGGGTTCTTTTTGCGTCAATTTCAGACCGTATATATTGCATGATGTGTTGTATTTACAAGTATGAAGTATTTTAAGCACTGGGCCAGTTCAACTTGGTAGAAGTTTAACAAACTTTAGAAAGAGGATACAAACGAGTATATGGAGTAATTATAGGTTCTTTTGTGTGTCATTTGCATAAGCTTGTGTTCTTTCTGCTTTTAAGTCGAATGACTGGAGAAGATGGAAAAGAAGTCATTATGGAAATTGAGAAAAAACTCCCTCAGCTATTCAGAGTTTTAAAAGTATGTATCTGTTTATTGAATAGTTTTTTGTTGTGGGGGAAAAAAAGTTTTACCAGCTAACTCATAAAAACTTTGAAATGGAATAAGAGCCAGGATCATCATTGTACTGTTTCAGTGTTTAATACGTATCCGAGTACTTTGTTAATTACCTTGCACGTATTCTCTTACTTAATCCTTCATGTCCCTGTGAGGGTACTCTTTAATCCCCACTTTGTAGAAGAAATTGATTTAATTTGCCTAATGTTGCCCACGGCCATGTGAATGCAAAACCTGTGCTTTTATTTTATTTTTTTAAAGATTTTATTTTTTAAGTAATCTCTACATCCAGTGTGGGGCTCCACCTCACCAACCTGAGACAAGAGTCCTGTACTCCCACAAAACCTGTGCTTTTAATTTAAAAGCAGTTAACAGCGATTATTTTATGTTTCTTGTCTTTTTGTAGGAATGTACTTGTAAGTAAATGATTGTGAAATTTTGTCTTTGGTCTGTTTTGTGGCAACATTCATTTTTATTTCTTACCTTCACTCACTGTCAGTTTTTGCCACTCTTGTCTGGTTAAAAAACCGTTATTATGGTTATCTTTTTTGCTTATTTGTAGGGAGGTGTTATAGTTTAACATCAGACTGCGGACTTCTGTTCTTATCCTCAATTGAGTACACAGTGGCTTTGTGACTGTCCTTAACACTTAACTTCTGAATTCCTTGTTTTTAGAATGAAGGGGTTGAACTACACCTCCAGAGTTCTTAACTTTATGACCATGTTTTGTGCTTTTAAACAGACGTATTCAGTCATATTTAGTGTACATTTTAGCATGATTTCCAGTTAAATGTTGAGACATTTAAGGCAGTCTACCTGGGAGTGTTCCTGTTACAGTCAGCAGTGCTTTTTGTTTGTGTAAGCCGGAACTTAGTTTTTGTGTAGTAGTTCAGGACTTATTAATAGTATTATTAAACAATATTAATTATACTATCCTATTTTTCTTCATTATCATGTTCCACATCTCAGCAATATATAGGATGTGATGAAAACATGCATCTTCATAAATTTGGTATTCAAGAACATGTAGGATCAGGAACTCAGTTGTTTGCACTATTTAATAGAGTTCGTAACTTAAATGCCTGATGAATAATTATTTGGAAGCATGTGGGTGGTTAATGATAGGAAAGTCAACAGAAGCTTGACAGTCAACAAAAGCTTTCTGGGTGAATTATTAAGCACTGCAAGGATAATTGAATTCCTTTAGAACAAGAGCCAGGTTAGGTGAAATATAACCTGTTTCTATATAGTTGTTTACAATTCTGTTAGTATTGAGTCTAGGAACCCGCAACATTTTTTTTTTAAGATTTATTTATTATTTATTATTTGAGAGAGTGCGGGGGAAGGAGGGGGGACAGAGGGATAGAATCTCAAGAAGACTCCCTGACAAGGGGGTCGATCTCACTACCCTGAGATTATGACCTGAGCCGAAATCAAGAGTCAGACGGTGCCCTGGAACCCACAATATTTTTTTTTCTCCAAAGATTTATTTATTTATTTAAGAGAGGGAGAGTGCGAGTGCACTCAGGAGAGCTCACAGGAGAGAGAGAGAGAACTGGTACTTAGATCCCAGGACCCTGAGATCAAGAGCTGAGCTGAAAGCAAGAGTCAGTCACTTAAGGACTGAGCCACCCAGGTGCCCCACCCACAACATTCTTATTTATTTATTTATTTTATTTTATTTTATTTTGTTATGTTATTTTAGTCACCATACATTACATGTGGTGATCCATGATCCATTGTTTTCATATAACACCCAGTGCTCCATGCAGTACATGCCCTCCTTAATACCCATCACCGGGCCAACCAATCCCCCCTCCCCCCTCCCCTCTAAAATCCTGTTTGTTTCTCAGAGTCCATAGTCTCTCATGATTCATCTCTCCCTCCAATTCCCCCCTGCCATTTTTCCCTTCCTTCTCCTAATGTCCTCCATTTTATTCCTTATGTTCCACAAATAAGTGAAACCATATGATAATTGACTTTCTCTGCTTGACTTATTTCACTTAGCATAATCTCCTCCAGTCCCATCCATGTTCATGTAAAAGTTGGGTATTCATCTTTTCTGATGGCTGAGTAATATTCCATTGTATATATGGACCACATCTTTATCCATTCATCTGTTGAAGGGCATCTCGGCTCTTTGCACAGTTTGGCTATTGCAGACATTGCTGCTATGAACGTTGGGGTGCATACCCACCCACAACATTCTTGAGGACAACACTGTTACAGAATACTTTGAGGCAATGTGTGTGTGTGTGTGTGTATTTTTTTTTTTTTTTCAAAGAACAGGTTTTTTTAAAAAAGGATTTTACTTATTTGACAGGGATACAACGAGAGAGGGAACACAAGCAAGGGGAGAGGGAGAAGCAGGCTTCCCGCCCAGCAGGGAACCCCATGCCCTATGGGGCTTGATCCCAGGACTCTGGGCAGATGCTTAATGACTGAGCCACCCAGGCACCCCCAGGCAATATATATTTAATTTAAAAAGTTGATCACAGCTAGCTATTCTCCAGGAGATACAGTAGTAGCTCTCAGTCTTAGGTATTTAATGCTGTCTTTCTGTGGTTGTCTGAATTGGTTGTTTTATTTTTTATTATTTTTTTATTTTTTAAAGATTTTATTTATTTATTTGACAGAGAGAGACACAGCGAGAGAGGGAACACAAGCAGGGAGAGGGAGAGGGAGAAGTAGGCCTCCCGCCGAGCAGGGAGCCCAATGTGGGGCTCCATCCCAGGACCCTGGGATCATGACCTGAGCCGAAGGCAGACACGTAATGACTGAGCCACCCAGGCACCCCAGAATTGGTTGTTTTAATATATCTTATGCTCCAGTGTTTGGTTTTTTGTATTTCATTTGAATAATTATATAAAAGGGGTGCCCTAGGGAAGTGTCTATTCATATACTTACTTTTCCTGCTCAAGAGCAGCAAATACCTGAGGATTCCTTGGATATATGATTCAGAGCAGTGGGGGGATTTGAAGATAAATCACTTTGAAATAGGAAATGGTACCAAGAAAAATACAGAGTTACAAATAAACGGAGGGTTGGGGAATATAGCAAGACTGCCTTTGACAGGTTTGGGATTTTAGAGCTTTTACATACGTAATATGGGTTGGACTTTAAATTCCAGATCAACATTCGTAAATGTTACATTCCAACCCCTGTCTGTCTGTTCCACTATAAAGTAGGATGCCAGCTTTTGTTTTTGAGTTTTTTGCTTACCTTTTGTGGAGGTGTCGTCAGCATTTTCCGTTTGTTGGCTCTTCTTTTAAGAGAAAATTCTTTTTTTTTGTGGAGGTGTCGTCAGCATTTCCCATTTGTTGGCTCTTCTTTTAAGAGAAACATTCTTTTTTTTTTAAGATTTTATTTATTTATTTGAGAGAGAAAGAAACCATATGAGAGCGAGGAGGGTCAGAGGGTGAAGCAGACTCCCTGCCAAGCAGGGAGCCCAATGCGGGACTCGATCCTGGGACTCCAGGATCATGACCTGAGCCGAAGGCAGTCGCCCAACTGACTGAGCCACCCAGGTGCCCAGAAACATTCTTTTTTTTTTTTTTTTTTTTTTTAAGATTTTATTTATTTATTTGAGAGAGAATGAGATAGAGAGAGCATGAAAGGGGGGAGGGTCAGAGGGTGAAGCAGACCCCCTGCCAAGCAGGGAGCCCGATGCGGGACTTGATCCTGAGACTCTCCAGGATCATGACCTGAGCCGAAGGCAGTCGCTTAACCAACTGAGCCACCCAGGCGCCCCAGAAACATTCTGTTTTATGTTTTCTCTTTCTAGTGCTCTTCTTCCTTTCTTTGCCAAGCTATATACATATGGCTTCCTGATTTTATTCCTATATCTGCTCTCAAACATTTGTTGATTGATTGGATTAAACATAATTTTTTTTTAATTTTCTGGTTGATTTTTGTTCTCTGAGAGTTTATTTACAGTTTTAATTGTTTATAACAAATGTGCTTTTTGTTTTTGTAGATTCACATTTCCAGTCAGAATTCAGACCTCAGTTGTGCTGCTCTACAGGCCTTGGGGTTTTGCTTATATAATCCCAAAATTACCTCAGGATTATCAGGTAGTTAAATTTATTATGACGTAGTATTTTTAGAGTTTATATTTTGGCGCGTGGCCTGGGAGTGTCTGACACCCACTGTGACCCAGAAAAAATATTTTTAGAGTTTATAAATATGGTTTGATATGTTAAAAGTACTGTTACTTCTCTATTAGTTTTGTAACTTGTAGTTTAGGATTTGCTTTTGAGAAAGAAATAATGTTTTGATAATCATCTTCTAGAAGATTTCTTTTTTTCTAGACATTGCTTTAAATCTGATACTACAAAATTTGCTCTAAAAGAATATAAATCTATTTTAAAATGATTGTAACAAAAAACTGAACCTTCTTTATATAAAGCATATCTGCTTTGGAAGGTAATAGGAATTTAGATGGTTATTTATTATATAAAACAAGCATACACACTAAGGAACATGCTGAATTGAGAAGTTCTTTTACAAAGTGGTACTGGGATAATTTGGACCCCAAAGTAGCTAAGTTTTCAAATAATCTTAATTACCGCTCTATAGTTTACCATTTTAATGGAAACCTAGAAAGTGATCTTTAGAGAGTGGGAAATCCGGGACAGGGAATAAGGATGCCTGAAAGTTATTACCATCTTCTTTTCTGATGGTAAAGTTTATGCCCTTCCTTTTTTAGATGTTCCCAATGTAAAATAGAAGTTCATTTTAGAGCAGAGGTTTAGGATTTGTAACATCTTGCCAAAAATTTTCTTATATGTTTAAAACTATAATGATGCCTGTGAAATTTTTCAGTTGCACAATTTGAGTATACTGTTTGTTTTCTCTGAATATACCTTCCTATCTGACCTAAGTTTTGTGTTTTGGGAAGAAATTTGATATTAGCATTGGTTCACTGATCCTTTTCTTCGGATATGCATTTAATTTTTTGACAATGAAGAGTATGTTGTTTTTTTGTTTCTGTATTTGAGATTTTAAAGGATGCAAACTGTTCCACATAATTAAGGCTGCTTGTTTTTCAGAGACAGATATTCAAGAACTGCTTTTAAAATTGAATGATAGTGTTAAAAGCCCAGACAAAAATGTACGTACTAGGGCACTTTGGGTGATATCCAAGCAGACGTTTCCTGGTGAAGTCATTGGCAGAGTAGTGAGTATGGTTTTTGTATGTTTTCTTAACTACATGCCACTTTAAAAACTTAGGCTTATTTGTATTTATTTGGTTCTGTCTTTTAGGTATCCAGTATAATTGATTCATTAGAAATAATATTTAATAGAGGAGAGGTGCATTCTGCTGTTGTTGATTATGAAGCATTAAATGTCATCATAAGGTATGAATTTGCTGTTTGGGAAGAATAATTTCAGTAAATTTAGAATTTACTTCAAGAAGTGGACTTTGGGGACTAGGATATGAATTAGCCATTAAAAGAACACAATGTCTTCTAAACTAAAAGTCTCAAGGAAAAAAGGTAACAGTAAAAAGAAGGAAGTAGATATATTTAAGTTACTAGGTTTGTTTATTTTTTGTCTGTCTTTATTTTTACTGAGTCCTAAAAATGAAGTCTTGGTTGGGGTGCCTGGCTGGTTCACTTGGTAGAGCATTCTCCTCTTGATCTTGGGGTCCAGAGTCCAAGCCCCATGTTGGGTGTAGAGCGTACGTAAAAATAAAGTCTTGGTTATGTTGCTGCTGACATTCTGATTTTAAAAATTATTTCCATTAAAGCTTTTCCAAGGGTTTAAAAAATAATGGGCTCCCAAGTAGGCTATAGGGGGTATATAAGAAGGCATTAACAGTGACTAGCAGCAGATGGGAGAATAGGAAAATGCTCTACCTTCTTTCTATCCATCCCTGCTCTTTCAAGGACATGCTAACAGCACAAAAACTTTGTTGGTGTGGTTTATCTTACCCAGTTTTTCATTCTTTTAAAGTTTTCTGTATTGAGCTATTTACTTTAACTATTTAGTGTTCTGATGTCCTGAATGATGCTCACACTAGGTCACAGTTCTCTGGCTATCTTCTTTTTTATTAAGATTTTATTTATTTATTAGAGAGCAGGAACAGGGGTGAGAAGGGGCAGAGGGAGAGGGAGAAGCAGGCTCCCCACTGAGCAGGGAGCCCTATGTGATGCGGGGCTGGATCCCAGGACCCTGGGATCATGACCTGAGCCGAAGGCAGACTCTTAACTGACTGAGCCACCCAGGTGCCCCTCTCTGGCTGTCTTCTAAAAGAAAGTTGAATTTACCTGTATTTTAAAAAAAAAATCAATATTTTAAATAATAATCTGAAGATAAATGGTGTGTTCTTATTTTTAAAATTTATAAAAATAATATGAAAATGTACAAATCAGTAAGTAAAAATTACATCTGCGTGAATGCATATATGTATATATTCTAAAATGGATGGTACTAGGCATATTTCTGTGTGCTGCTTATTTTCCTGGTAGTTTAGACATAAAAGGTGAGGTCAAGCTAATTTCATTGATTTCTCTATTATAGGCTAATTGAACAAGCCCCAGTTCAAATGGGAGAAGAGTCAATTAGGTGGGCAAAACTGGTCATACCTTTAGTGGTTCATTCAGCTCAAAAGGTACATTTGCGGGGAGCAACTGCTCTAGAGATGGGAATGCCATTGTTGCTTCAGAAACAACAAGAAATAGCATCTATCACAGAGCAGCTTATGACTACTGTAAGTATTATTTTGTGTAAGGATTTTTTGGATACTGCATTGAAAGTTTCTGGCCCAAGCATAGGGCTCATAGTAGAATAACTGCATTATGATCTAGGAAGTTCCACTTTTAACAAAACATAAGTAATTGCTTAAGTTAGTATGGGCACACTACTAGTTTAGTTTAGGGGAGGGAGCTGTTTCATTTGGTGTTTGCAGGATACAAGCATTTTATTTCATCCCCAGTGAATAGTGATTGAAAGGAATTGCATTTCTGGAAAAGGGAGAATATTAACTGATTTCAGTACTATTTGGGTTTTAACATAATCCCAATAGGTATAAATTTAAAGCACATAAGTGTGTGTAATGTGTACAATTTCCTAAAGTTATTACTTGCCTCAGGTTTTAGGCTTTTCTACCATTGTTCTTGTAACAAATATTTATTGAGCATGTATATGCCGGACATTGTTTTAGACAACATAGCAGTGAACAAAAGGAACTTGTGGAGCTTATTGTCTAGTGGGAGAGGCAGTAGAGAATATAGTATATTCAGTGAAGAAGATTATGGAGAACCATAGAGACTAGATGGAGAGTGCCATTGGAGAGGAAGGGTATGGTCAGGGAAGGAAAAACAATAGGATATTTAAACAGTGATTTGAAAGTGGTACAGGAATTAGCTACTTGGATGATAGGGAGTAAGCTCATTCTAGGCAGGAGGAACCATGAGAGCAAAGGCCCTGCTCTGATGGTTTTGTGTTGCTGTTCAGTGAACACTGGGCAAGTGCAGTATGATAGAGTGAATGAGGATGAGAGGATTAAGAGATGATGTCAGAGAAACAGCCAAATCACATAGGACCTTGTCGGTATTGCAAGGCATTTTTTTTTCCTCTGGCTTATATTGAAAATCTTATTTGAAGGTTTTGAGTCTAGGAGTGTTTATATGTACTGACTTGGGCTTTAAAGGGATCACTGTGCCGGTGTTGAGAATAGTCTCTAGAGAAGTTGAGTAGAAGAAGGGAAACTAGTTTAGAGATAACTTCAGTCATCTAGGTGACATGAGGGAGCCTTCCCAATTTTAAAACCTGGGATTTTGTTTATTTTTTAAAATTCAGGAGGCCTCATGGGAATGTTTGGAGCCTAATAAAGTAGCTCCAGTGTCTTTGCAAGTTTTTTTATTTTGATAAGTTTATTAATTTTCTAAGAGCATATATAAAATTCTTTATAAATTTGACCTAAAATGTTCTCAGCTGTTACCTATGAAGCTATTAATGTATTTAGATTTTTTTTGAAGATTTTATTTATTTGACAGACAGTAGCAGAGGGAGAGAGAAGCAGACTCCCCACTGAGTAAGGAGCCCGATGTGGGGCTCGATCCCAGGACCCCGGGATCATGACCTGAGCTGAAGGCAGACGCTTAACGACTGAGCCACCCAGGCGCCTTAATGTATTTTTAAGAGTGGAAAATAAAACATTACTATTTTAACTCTAATGATATATATGCTGAAGTTTTCAGGGAGAAGTATATTGGTAGAAAAAAATTAAGCTGAATTGATGGATGGAATAATGGTCAGATTTATAAGACAGGCATAGTAAGATGTTAACTATATTTATATTTGGACTTCCACTGTAAAACTTTCAGCTTTGCTATATACATGAAAGTTTTTCTAATAAAATATTGGGAAAAGTTAATTCAACTAATACAGTCTGATACTGCGTATTTTGTTTTTTCAAGAGTGTTTTTGGTAAATATTTTTGCTTTTGTTTACAGAAATTACTTTCAGAACTCCAAAAGCTATTTATGAGTAAGAATGAGACTTATGTGTTAAAATTGTGGCCTTTGTTTGTCAGACTTCTTGGGAAGGTAAGTTTATAGTTAATAGTTCACAGTTTATACCTGCGAGACCCTTTCATTTCTTAACTTTACATTATTCATGCATGCCACATATGTAAATTTAGCTGTTCACTAAAATTTGTTTGCAAACCCACAATAAGTACTTCTGCTGCTTTTCCAGTCGGTTGCAAACCTGCAGAGTGGCATAATTTGAGTCCCCTGGTGTGCAGGTTCTCAGCTGAGGTAGAGCAAGATAATGCTTGTGCGCATGCGCGTAACATGAGCCGGGGCAGAGGGAGAGGGAGAAGCTGACTCCCCTGCTGAGCGGGGAACCCGACTAGGGCTTGATCCCAGGACCCTGGCTGGGATCATGACCTGAACCAAAGGCAGATGTTTAACCGACTGAGCCACCCAGGTGCCCCTCAGTGTTCTTTTTAAGACAGATGTCCTTTTTCGGGATGACTCTCTGATGCTCTCTCAAATAAATAAAATCTTTAAAAAAAAAAAAAGTCCTTTTCATAAATCCACTTAATGACACATTTCCCACGTTTTGTGCTTCTTCTTGGTGAATTTAGTTTCAAATGGCCCCCAGGCTTAGTGCCAAAATGTTGTCTGTAGTTCCTAAGCACTAGGAGACTGATGTGCCCTAGGGAGAAATTACATGTGTTACATAAGCTCTGTTTAGGCATGAGTAACAGTGGTGTTGGCTGTGAGTTCAGTGTTAGTGAGTCAACAATACATACAGTGTCATTAAACAGAAATAAATAGAAAACAAGGTTGAGTTCGATTGGTTGACAGAAAAGGTTCTTGTAGGAACCTAATCCTGCATCTTTCCTAGGAGCAGTGGCTCAGTACTTGCTAACAGTGTTTGCAGTGGACTTTATAGAACTTTGGTGGATCGTGAGGATTGACCATATGTTCTATCTTTAAGCCAGGTGTTTTGTTTGTTTGTGGGGGTTGTTTTTTTTTTTTTTGAGGGGAAGGGATGTGTTTTTCTTTATTGTGGTAAATAAACATAATCATCGTAAGTGTACAGTTCAGTGCCATTGAATACGTATGCGAGTTGTGTAAACATTGTCACTATCTGGGCGCCTGGGTGGCTCAGATGGTTAAGCGTCTGCCTTCAGCTCAGGTCATGATCCCAGGGTCCTGGGATCGAGTCCCGCATCGGGCTCCCTGCTCCTTGGGAGCCTGCTTCTCCCTCTGCCTCTCTCTCTCATGAATAAATAAATAAAATCTTAAAAAAAAAAAAAAATTGTCACTATCTGTACCCAAAATTTTATCATCATCTCCCAGCAACTTTATACATATAACTCCTCCTACTTCCCCACCCCCAGCCCCTGGTAACTGCTGTTCTGTCTGCTGTCTCTGGATTTGCTAATAGTAGGCATCCCACATAAGTGGAATCATGCACTATTTGTCCTTCTGTGTATGGCTTATGCAAAGACATAATTTTTTCAAATTCTAATCATGTAGCAAGCACTTAATTAAATTTCATTCTTAGGGCTGAATAATATTCACTCTATAACTCATTTTTGTTTATTCATTTGTTGATAGACACTTGGCATATTTTTACATTTCGGCTATTGTGAATAATGTTGCTGTAAACATTGATGTACAAATATATGTTGGATTCTGTGCTTTTCATTCTTTTGGATATATGTGTAAGAATGGAATTGCTGGGTCGTAATGGTAGTTCTGTACTTAACTTTTAGAGACACCTCCAAATTGTTTTCCACAGTGGGCGCACTATTTCACATTCCTACCAGTAACAACACTAGGGTTCTTTCTAGTTTTTCTTTTCTTTTAAGGATTTATTTGTTTATTTTAGAGAGTGCTTGAGGGGGAGGGGCAGAGGGAGAGGGAAAGAGAATCTCCAGCAGACTGCCAACTGAGTGAGGAGCCTGACACAGGATCCTGAGATCATGACCTGAGCTGAAATCAAGAGCTGGATGCTTAACTGGCTGAGCCACTCAGGTGCTTCTAGTTTTTCCTTGCCGAACTTATTTTTTGGTTTTTGGTATGTTGGCCATTCCAGGAAATTTTGTTCTGTTTTGTAAAACTGGGCCATTTTAATGTTTTTGACTATGATAAATAGTTCTCTTGATGATTGCAGACTTATAAGGCTGTTGGGTAATAATTGAGAAACAGTCACAGTAGTGGTGGTTTTCCTGATTGGTGTGCCATCTTCAGTAACGATTGTAAGGAGTTACTTGTATGAAACTGCTGTTAAGCCAGTAAGACCGCATTTATGAACCATCATTTTCAGGATTGTTAGTAACCTGGACATATTTCTCCCAAATAACCTTACCTCTTTGTGTTACAAGACCCAGCTTGCTCACATCTGTGTCATTGACAGTACCTTTGGTAGTAATAACCAAGGTTGTATATAGTGGGCATGAGTTTTTGTTTACACCATATATTGAGAGGTAAAAGGTGACTTTCAGTCTAAGACCTATTATATGGGCCTTCTTGAAACATAAACCATTGGCCTAATGAATCATATTTAGGTGGTTTTCATATAAAGCTATTTTCAATGGAGCGGACTTTAGTAACAGTAAACAACCTCTTTTATGCTCTCTTGTTTCTCTGTCCTATTCAAGTAACTTAATATTTGTTTCTCCCTGGGCATGAACCTTGAGCATAGAGTCTCCCCATTTTCCTGCTTCCCCTTTTTGGTTTTAACTATATTTGAAAGTATTTTGGCTCAGGACTGTCTCTCTGTGTCCTGTAGATAGGCAGGTACTGTTCCTGTGGAATCTTTTCATCGTTCTTTAGTTTGGTGTTTCCCTTTTCTTGCATCTTAATAGTATTTTTTGCTTTTTCTCAGTATGGTGCTATTTATGGTAGTGCTTAGCCTTCATCTGCTGCCTTTGAACATTCATGAGCCTCTTGACTTTTCTTCTTATTCTTTTTCTCATGGTGATCCAAGTGATATCCATAGCAGTTATGATGTAACTCAATAAGTTGTTTTGTGGCGTGGTGACTGCAGACCAGCCACCTGGGCTCAAAGAAGCCCTAAGTATTTTGGTCTCCGAGACCTAAGAGCTGACTGCCCAGAACCCAGGGCAGGAAAGCCTTTGCCCATTTTTTTTTTTTTTAAGATTTTATTTATTTATTTGACAGAGACAGAGATAGTGAGAGCAGGAACACAAGCAGGGGCAGTGGGAGAGGGAGAAGCAGGCCTCCAGACGAGCAGGGAGCCTGGTGCGGGGCCTGATCCCAGGACACAGGGATCATGACCCGAGCCAAAGGCAGACACTTAACAACTTAGCCACCCAGGCGCCCCCTTTGCCCATTTAAAAAAAAAATTTTTTTTTTAAAGATTTTATTTATTTGACAGAGAAGCGCGTGCATGCACATACAAGCAGGGGGAGCAGGAGAGGGGGAGAGAGAGAGAAGCAGGCTCTCTGCTGATCAGAGAGCCCAATGCGGGGCTTGATCCCAGGACCCTGCGATCATGACCTGAGCTGAAGGCAGACACTTAACCGACTGAGCCACCCAGGCATCCCACCTTTGCCCATTTTTTAATTGGGTGGTTTGGTTTTATTGTTCAGTTGTAGGAGTTCTTTATTTTGGATTATTAATCCCGTATCAGATATGTGATTTTCAAATATTTTTTTTCCCATTCTGTAATGTTGTCTTTTCACTTGATAATATCCTTTGGTGCACAAAAGTTTTTAATGAAGTCCAATATAAATTAGAATTTTTTTCTTTCATTGTCTGTGCTTTTGGTGTCATAGCCATGGTGACAAATCCAATGTCATGAATCTTTTTCCCTCTGTATTCTTGGAGGATATTTATAGTTCTAGTTTGCAGAAGTTTCTATCTTTGATCCATTTTGAGTTTATTTTTGTATGTGGTATAAGGCAAGGGTCTAGTTCTCATTCTTTTGCATGTGGATATTCAATTTTGCAGCACCATTTGTTGAAAAGAATGGTCTTTATATAATGAATGGTCTTGGCACCCTTGTTGAAAAATAAGGGGCGCCTGGGTGGCTTGGTAGGTTAAGCCTCTGCCTTTGGCTCAAGTCGTGATCCCGGGGTGCTGGGATCGAGTCCTGCGTTGAGCTTCCTGCTCTGCAGAGAGCCTGCTTCTCCCTTTGCCTCTCTCTCTCTCTGTCTCATGAATAAATAAATCTTTAAAAGCAAAAAAAGAAAGAAAAATCAGTTGACAGCAGGGACACGTGAGTGGCACAATTGGTTAAGTGTGACTCTTGATTTTGTCTCAGGTCATGATCTTAGGGTCATGAGATGGAGCCCAACGTGGGATTTCACACTCAGTGCAGAGTCTGCTTGAGACTCCCTCCTCTCCCCTAGCCCCAGATAAATAAAAAAAAAAAAAAGAAAAGAAAAACCAATTGACAGCGTATGTGAAGGTTTTATTTTGGGGAATCTCTGTTCCATTGGTCTGTATGTTTATCTTTATGCCATTACCATATGTTTTAATTACTTCAGTTTTGAAGTAAGTTTGGAAGGCAAGAAGTGTGAGTTCTCCAAACTTACTCTTTCAAAATTGATGTCTGTTTGGGGCTCTTTGCAATTCCATAATGAATTTGAAGATTGGCTTTTCTTTTTTGTGAAGAAGGCTGCTGTACTTTTAATAGAGATTGTTTTGAATCTGTAGATTGCTCTGTGTAATATTGACATTTTAATGGTATTAAAATTTTCTGTACTTGAACGTGGGATGGTTTTCCATTTATTTAGGTCCTTTAAAATGTTTTTCAGCAGTATTTTGTAGCTTTTAGTACAAGCCTTTCACCTCCTTGGTTAGATTTATTCCTAAGTATTTAATTCTTTTAGGTGCTAATGTAAATGGAATTGCTTACTTAATTTCTTTTTCAGATTGTTAGTTGCCCTTGTGTAGAAACAGCTGATTTTTGTGTGTTGATCTCTGCGGTTGCTAGTAGCTTTCTTAGGGATTCTTGGATTTTTTAAGCAAGTTATTTTTTGTTAATGTTTATATGCTGTTCAGTTTATTGTGATTTATAGCTACAGTTGCTAACGTTTCATGTTTTAATGTTTGTTTCCTTGCGATACATTACTTGTCATTTGTCCCTTTTTCCCTTAACTTTTTCCTGTTTATTTCAGTGTATTTGAAAACTGGGTTTTCTTTAGTTTCAAGGTTCAACATTTCTTATTTTTTCATAAGTACTAGGTTTTTTTTTTATATGGATACCATTTTTACTTGGTATTATGTTGGTAAACTTCGGGATTTATCTTCCTAATTTTCTCTAATGTTTAGAAATGTTCTGTTTTATGCATTTATGCATTACTTATTCATGGAGCATTATATTTTGTGATCTTGAGTTTTGAATGTGTACGCAGAATCCAGTACATTTTGAACTTTAAGACATTACATAGCTAACACTGAATGAATTAGATAAATGAATAATAATAGTACCTATATGTTGTTTTAGGAAGGTAAATAACTTTGTTATGATTTTTCATTTTTAGACCTTGCATCGAAGTGGGAGTTTCATTAATTCTCTATTACAGCTGGAAGAACTGGGATTTCGCAGTGGAGCACCCATGATTAAAAAAATAGCTTTTATTGCTTGGAAGAGTTTAATAGATAATTTTGCTTTGAATCCAGGTAAGTAAGTAAGGTCTTAAAAATTTGATTTTTCTATGGATTTTACTCAAGATGAAAAGAACAAAGCCTTTCTGATTTTTTTGGATTTTATATTGAAACTTAACCTATTGAATATATATATATTTTTAATTTTAAGGGAATAAACTTATAGCCAAAAATAGAATTAAAAAGCCTAGGCATTATTGAAAATCACAGATAGAAAATTTGTTTTAAGCTATTTCAAAAATTAAAGTGACAGATACCATTTGTGGTTTTTTAGTATATTCCAGCACTTAGTTGAGCACTTTGAGTACCTCTAATTTAATCATCACAATAGATCTGAGATACAAAGTACTATCCCTATTTTAGAGAGATTAATTTATCAAAGGTCATTTATAGCCATTAGATGATAGGAAGCACTTGTGATTGCTATGAAGCATGACTGATAAAACGTTTTTCTCTCAGGACCTTTAGAACAGTGCCTAATAGTGGGTTTTTACTATTAATATTTCCAGGTGATTCCTTTTGATTTACCTTAACTTTATCTTCCTGTTGTCTAGTGGAGGTGTTTGATATACAGTTGACCCTTGAACAAGGGAGGCTTAGGGATGCCAGCGTCCCACTGCATATAACTTTTCACTCCCCCCAAATTTAACTACAGATAGCCCACTGTTGACCAGAAGCCTTAAAAATAACATAAACTGTCGATAACCCATATTTTGTATATTATATGTATTATATACTCTAGTCTTACGATAAAGTAAACTAGAGAAATGTTAGGAAAATCATAAGGAAGAGAAAATACATTTGCAGTATTGTATAAAAAAAAAAAAATCTGTGTATAAGTGGACACATGCAATTCAAACCCATGTTCAAAGGTCAGCTGTATATATGAGAAAGTATATAGCCCAAAAGTAGGTCAGTAGGAATACTTAACTTAATTGGGTAATCTTAGATATAATGAATACTGTATGTTTATAAGATCTGCTACATAATATTAATTTCGTCCTGTATTTTTTCTCTGCCAAAGACAATTAATAATCCTTTCTCTTCCCCTTTTTAGTGTGTTTTGTAAGGTGATTATTTTCATTAACTATAATTTTACTGAAAATATTGATAGTGCATTGCCAGGCACAAATTTTAAGTATAAATGTTACCTTTTTTGTTGTTGTTATTTATAAACCAGTAATGCAAGTTGATGTCCTGGACTAAATCTGGACTAAAGCATAAAATAGACATGACTTAAAGAAGATAAATTAAATGCTATCTCATTTGAAGTAAGTCCAGAGCTAAAGAGTCCATCCCTAGTGTTAATGGATCTAGGAAATCTTAAGGAATCAGATGCCTGTCTTTCTATTCTGTCATCTCTCTAGAGCCTTCCAGAAATTCCACATACACTTCCCCTTAAATCTCATTGGGTAGAGTGGCTGAATGGGAGACTAGATAAAGAAATAAAAAATTGGGTATCTGTCATTGTCCTGAGTGAAAGAGGTCTTGTATCTAAAAAGAATGGCAATTTCTGCTATAGGGATATTATTGTGGAGCTCCTCTCATAAGTAGAGGAGGAGTTCAAAAAAGATTAGAGAATTTGTTCCCACAGTGATTTGACTTTATTTTCTTCTTTATGGAAATGTTAATTGTGAAAGCTAAATGGCAGAATAGCTGTCAGAAACATTAATGCCATCCCACCAAATACATAGCTTGACTGATGTTTCAAAATCCTTTTCGAGTCTTTTTGATAAGTTACTTGAGCACACGGGCATCTTATTTTGTGTATTCCCAGTTATTACACTCAGTATTAGGCTGGACAGTTTATTGTGGAGGACTGCCCTGTGTGTTGAAGGAAGTTTAGCAGTATCCTTGGGTGCAGCCTACTAGATGCCTACAACATCCTCTGTACCCCTGCCTCTGAGGTCTAACAACCAGAGATATTGTAAACATTGCCAAATGTCCCTTGGTAGGAAGATCGTTCCTGGCACACACAGTTTCTAATAAACATTACTTCCTCTTTTTTCTTCTTCTCTTTCTTTGGCCTTATTACATGTAGTCTAGTTGTTCTGGAGTCTGTCACATTGAAAATTTGAGGTTTAACAAGAACGGCTGATCTCAAAAAATTTTTTTGTATATCAGTTCTGTGGTCAGAAAGACTTACATACTTATTCTTAAAATTTAGTCTTCAGCTCTTATATCTTTTTACCCATGTGCTTATTTTCTTTTTAAGAAATACTGTGCAGTGCAAAAAGGCTGAAGTTGTTAATGCAGCCTTTGAGTTCCATCCATGTGAGAACAGAAACTCTAGCACTAACAAAGCTAGAAGTCTGGTGGTATCTACTGATGAGACTTGGACCTCATCTTCCTGCTAATTTTGAACAGGTAATGAAAGTGTTGAGTATAATGCTTGGTATGTTTTAATGCATTCTTAAATTCTTAACAATCTAATCTTTCAGTGTTATATTTGCTGTGTTCTATAAAAGATCTTTTTTTCCTAACACAGAACTTGAGTTTATTTTTCTCAAAAGATATTCTCTAGTTGTGTGAAATGGAGACTCTAAAGCTTTCTTAACCAGCAGCCACTCAAATATCTATCCTTACTCTAAAGGCATTTTGAGAGATTTTTTTAAAAGAAATTTCATAGCATTTAGAATATAATTGAGTGTAAAATCAACATTACTGATACAGAAATCTAGTTTACACTGGGTTGATAAAAAGTTGGATCAATTCTTATTTTTTGTATCTCTATTTCTAGGCTACATAATGGTAACAAATCATTTAATCCCAGCATAGCTTTGCAATATTATTATAAATGATTTTACAAATTTTTTTTAGATTTTGATACCCTTGCTGGCATTTAGACATATCTGTACCTCCTTGATTTTGCAATTAATCCCATCCTTGGTTTCTGTATTTTACAGTAAGTAAAAAAGGATAGCTCTGATAATTTCTATCTTTTTTATTTCTTTATTGTGTATTGTTTATCTGGGTTTTTGGAATATATCTTACTGTTAAATCTGTAGTCCTTGTCTTTTGGTCTGTGTATGTAATTGCATGGCAGTGAGTATATTATTGGAAATTGGGTTTTATAATAAAATATACTTGAATTTTTAGCAAGTTTTTAAAATTCTTAATTATTTAATGTCGTAAGGCTTTTAAACTTAACAGCATGAATTAATTGGAGTTGGGCATTAATGATAGTATCTAACAGGAACATAATTATTACAGATTCTACCATTATGAGGTCCTAAGTAGGCTAATCTTACCCAGTTGCCCACACATTCATTGGTATAATTTATGCATTGGCTAGATTTGATTGGTACTGGAATGATCTTAGAAATGAGCTTTAGGTTGTCTTAGTTCATTTTTTTTAGGGTATATTTTTAAAAAGCTTAAAATGAGTCTGTACCGATAGCATTAAAACTTGGGCATTGTTTATGTGTATAATTTCCCATTTGGAATTTAGAACTGAAATTTATAGATAGTACACATTTATAGGGCAAATTTCAGTTGTAATAAAAATTTTTACTTGTTTCCAGTTTTAGTTTTTTTAGCCAGTGCATCCAAACAGCCAGTAGGATTCAGCATATCAAAAGAACTTAGAGTTTTTCTTAAATTTAACTATATCATGCAAGACTTTTAAAAAATATGGCACTTAGGTAGTTTAGAGATAGTTTTCCTTTTTTTGTTTTTAACCCCAATAGGTGTGCGTGCCTCTGATTCAAAGTACAATAAGCATCGATTCTAATGCTTCACCTCAAAGCAGTTTGTCTCGTGTAACTGCTTCTCCAGGTTTAAGTCCTATGACTCCTATACACAAAGGTAAGAGACATACTTGGGTTTTTTTTTTTCCCTATTTCTAAAAAGGGCTTGAATGTAGCCTTTGCTCAGTTATTCACATACAGTGAAGCACTTTATAATTTTGACGCCCTAATCACAAAGTCAGTTCTATACTAATTGTTTTCCTGTGTGTTACTGTTGTGATTGCGTTGTGGTTGGGAAAAGATGGGTGTTTTTCCACTATACACGTGAGATGTATTACAAATGACTGTTGTGTTTGTTTCAGAACCAGAATTTTAGAGCTTTTATTAAAAACAACAGATTTTAACGGATGTTTTTTTAAAAAGTGGCTTAGCAGGGTGCATGAGTGGTTCAGTCAGTTAAGTGTCAATTCCTGATTTCGTCTCCGGTCATGATCTCAGGGTCTTAGGCAGCATCTGCTTGAGGTTCTGTCCCTCTGCTCCTCCCCCCTCAAACAAACAAATAAAATCTTTTTTTAAAAAGTGGCTTAGATTATATACCATTGGAAGAAAATGATTTGCTGTTTGTTTTTTGTTTGTTTTTTTTTTTTTTATGTTAGCTATTCTAGTCAGATTTTTATATTTAGGTGTCAGGAATGCCTGCATAATAATATTTCAAAGTAGGAATTAATACTTGATAATTATCTTCATTTAAATGGTGTGTGGCACTAAATCTTGTTTTTAAAAACCTAATAAGATAATTAGGAACTCTGTTGTGGGCTTTAGGCAAAAATTCAATTTTTGTTTGACAAAAACTATTTACTTTTAAAGATATATTTCGTTGAAATGAAGTAAACAAAATATGTTCACTTGGATAGCTAATTTAAGTTAATATAACTTACCATTTGTGTTTTGTTTTGTTTTTAAGGTGCTTCCCCATATGGAACTCCTGTAACTCCCCGGATGAACTTAAGTTCAAATTTTGGTGGAATGGCCACAATCCCCTCTATTCAACTTTTGGGACTTGAAATGCTGCTTCATTTTTTGTTGGGTCCAGAAGTCTTGAGTTTTGCTAAGCAAAACAAACTTGTACTGAGCTTAGGTATTTACTTTTTTAAAACTGTTCAGAGCAAGAGTGCATTAGGCGAAAAGACATTTATCTTCCCCAAAGCCAAAATAACTCTGTAATTACGTGTGAAATAAATATAAATCTTTTTAATAGAAAACACATGTCAGACCACCTAATATTTTATATTGAGCTGTTTTATTTTATAAAGCTTTGTTTTGGCATAATTGCCCTTTTTTCTCTCTTTTTTAGAGCCACTCGAACATGCGTTAATCAGCAGCTCTTCTTTTTTTTCCAAACATGCAAATACACTCATCACTGCTGTTCATGATAGCTTTGTTGCGGTTGGAAAAGATGCTTCTGGTAAATATTTAAGAGAAAATTTTTTATTAATTGTTTAAACCTGTGTTTAAAAAGAAAATAAAATAGCAAATATTTGTATAGTGCCATCTTTTGGCCAAATTGTGCTCGAAGAACTTTACATATAAATCATTCAATTCTTACAGTAACCTTCTCTGTTAATCCATTTTTCAGATGAAGAAACTGTGTTGTACAGAGAAGTTAATAACTTGTGCAAAGTCACATAGTTGGTGGTGGAGCTGTGATTCAAACCTGGGCTCCATGGCCCTAGCATCTACACTTAAATGCCTGTGTTTGATGGCCTATCAGATATTGAGATGAAATTTCAAAAGTAGTTTGCTATTTAACTGTCTGGGAAATTTTTTTCTAGGGGCTTTCAGGTGTCCTTTTGAATCTTGTTTTTTTCCTTGTCTCGGAAGCAAAAGGTATTCAGTAAAGAAAATGCAGATAGCAGAAAAAAAGAAAATAATCACTCTTAATTAAATTACAGGGCCCATTGTTAATAGGTTACAGTTTGAAAAAATATTTCTTTGTTGTGATAGTGTTTCATAAACTGATAGGGTTGAATATTTTAAGAATTATACTCTAACTATTGCTCAACTTATTTCTTTAGTGTAAGGATGTAAGGGTAAGCCTTTATAGTCATACCTACTACATTCTAAAGTTTATTTTGTTTTGTTTGGCAGATGCGGTTGTCAATGCTATTTGGAAGGAGCTAATTAGCTTGATGAAGTCAGTTATTGAATCAGGTAACTACTATAACTGACCAAATGATTTTTATAGCACCCAATGAGTTTTGTTTGGCTTTTGTAAATAAAATTTACTTTTAAGTCAATTTTTGAACTGTATAGCTTCCTGACTTTCAAATAAAGCTATTTGATACATTTAAAAAAATCAGTGTCATAACTGAGTATATGTTTTTATCCCTAAAAATACTATATTTTCACCCTTAAAATACTTGCATATTGCTTTTTGCTTTTTGATAGGTAACAAAAAAGAGAGACCAGGTTCTGAAGTTTTGACCCTGTTACTAAAATCTTTAGAAAGCATAGTGAAGTCAGAAGTATTTCCTGTGTCAAAAACACTGGTAAGGATAATGATTATGTGCTGGAATTAAAAAATCGTATTCTGAAATTGAATTTTTGGTGGAGATACTTACACAGACCAGGTTTTTTTTTCCTTTTTAAGATTTTATTATTTATTTTAGAGACAGAGTGTGCGCGCACACAAGCAGGGGGAGGAATAGGGTAGGGTGGGAGGGAGGAAGAGGGGGAAAGAATCTGTAGCTGACTCCACGCTGAGTGTGGATCCCCAAGCAGGGCTTGAGATCATTACCTGAGCCAAAACTGAGAGTCAGACGCTTGACTGAGCCACCCAGGTACCCCCAGACTAGATTTTAAGATTTTATATCAGCAATTTAGCCCTGTAGTAAATGTTATTTCATTGACTTTGGAGTCATTTGAAACCTCAATAAAGTAAATGAGTATACCGGCAATACAAAAATCTTCCAATGTCATAAGAATGAGCCATACAGAGAAAATGGGGTAAAGGACATGAAACAAGAACTGAGGAAACTCAGAACACTAATTTTATAAGATTGCTGAGCTCCACTAATAGTTATTTTGTACATTTAAGAAAATGTCTGGTAATAATCTTGTGGAACTTTTGCAATTTAAATGAACTCTGTTTAACCAAGATAATGACTTTGGTTTTAAACATCTTTTTTATCCTATATAGTAGAGAAGGAAAAAACAAATTGGATATACTTTTTATAATAGTGAGTCTCCCAAGATAACTGCAGATGGAGTAAACTATACCCTACTTAAATTCCTTCTGAGTCTATGTACTGGGATATCTACTATGGCAGTAGTTCATAGTTGTTAATAGCAAGGGCTCTGGAGCAGACTAGGTTGAATTTCCCCACCCAATTATTTATTAGCTGAGTGAACTTGGTCAATATTTCTACTCTCTTACCTTTTGTAAAGGGAATATAGTAGTTTTATATAATTAGGTTAATAGCAGAGCACAATGGGTCAGGAACAAAATAGTCTATAAATGCTGTTTAGTATTATCATTAGTGTCTCATTCAAATGAGAGTGTGAAAGCACATTTTAACTAAAATAACCTTTTCTGTCATATTATGTCCCTTGTTATGTAGTTCAAATTAATACCAGTATAATAATAATTTTGAATGACTGTTTGATAGGCTCTGTCATATTTGAGAGATGTGTCTTTAGACCCAGCTTCTAGTTAGTAGTCCTTTGAAATATACTTGCTTCTGGCACTAGTGAGTACATAATTCGTTGCAGAATATCTTTTTTATAGTATATTAAAAAAAGGCCTCAAGGGCTATTAATAGAAAAATGTTTGAATAAACTGTGCACATTCATACAGCATTTAAGAATGTCTACATATATTGATGTTAAAACTCCATAATACAGTTAGGTGAAGGTCAGTTCCAGAGTATCTCACAGTATAATGTCATTAATGCTATAAAAGAATAGATGTATGACAGCCCAGGAAGTTTTGTTTCTGTGTATACTTAAATACATGGAAATTTAGAAGGTCTAGAAAAATAAACTCCACAAACTGATAGTATTGATTTTCCCTGGAGATAAAGGACTTTGTCATTTTATTTTTTATGTTTCTGTATTTGAGCTTTTAAAACTAATGTAAATATATTCACATTAATATATAAATGTATTTGAACTTCTTGAATGGAGAATTTATTTACATTAATGAATGAGCATTACTTAACAATGAATTGTTAATTAAAAATAGAGCTAACAGTATTAGATTTTTACTAAGTAAAGTATTTTTATAGCTAATTTACAACAAAACTTTTTATTTTTCTTAGGTCCTCATGGAAATTACAATTAAAGGACTGCCCCAGAAAGTATTAGGTTCACCAGCATATCAGGTTGCTAATATGGATATTCTTAATGCAAGTATCTTAAATGTAATGATATGATTAAAATTAGCCAAAAGATAAAGTTCTGTGATAGTTTTTTTTTTCCTTAACATAGTGAAACTTAGCTTGTAAAATTTTGAGAGAATTGGATAGGCTGATTATGTTAAAGGGAAAAAACTGATTAATAAAGAATTAAATATGACATTATTAATGGAACTATTTTTCTGAATTACACTAAAAGTTCTAGGAGGAGAGTTCTGTTTGCTTATACATAGTAATAGTGGTTATTATTTAAAAATTTGGAAGCATAGTAACAGTTCCTTAATTATGGTGAAATAAATTTAATATCTACAGGATGTAGATGTATTTATTGGTCCAGCAAGTTTTAACTTAATGTTCTTTTTATATCTGGAATATACCACTCCTCAATTGCTCATGTAGATGGAATAGCTGAAAGAGCTTGATTTTTGTGTGCAGTTTATAGAAATATATTTGCTACCATTGTGTCATATCCTAAGTAATATCAAAAGTTAAAGTTCTTTAGCTTAAAAGGATCATTTTACATAATTGATTATAGAAAACAAGTGTAACAAGATTATACTCCTTATAACAAGAATATTGACTGCATTCTTCCATCTTTCTTCAGGGAACTCCTGCTTTGTTCTTAATTCAGTTAATTTTCAACAATAATCTCTTGGAATATGGTGTAGATGATGAGAGGTAATTTAAACTAGTCTTTTTGTTTATGTTGGAAAGGTTATTTGATGAATGAGATTCTTTTTTTTAAGATTTTTATTTGGGAGAGAGTGAGAGAGAGAGAGAGAGAGAGAGAGAGAGAGAGAGAAAGAAAGGATGAGCAGGGGGAAGGAGAGGGGGAAGCAGACCTCCCCCCGCTGAGCAGAGAGCCTGATGCAGGGCTCGGTCCCAGAACCTGGAGATCATGACTCGGGCCAAAGGCAGACGCTTTAAGCAACTGAACCACCCAGGTGCCCCAGATGAATGAGATTCTTTTGAGTTATATGCTGTATCATTTTTTAAAATAAAAAAAATCAAAGTAAGACTATAACATTTCTTGTTTCCTTGTTGGTTATTTTTAGACTTTTCTAATAGTGTAACATGTATTTTGGCAGAAAGCGCTGGATAATGCATAGCTCAATTTTTTCTCCAGGTTTTTTCTCAATCTGGAAACACTTGTTGGCTGTGTCCTTTCTGGTCCAACTTCACCACTAGCTTTCAGTGACTCTGTTTTAAATGTTATTAACCAAAACGCAAAGCTGTTGGAAAACAAGGAGCATCTCTGGAGAATGTGGGGTATTATAGTCACCCCATTAACGGAATTGATTAATCAGGTATAAGTGCTATATGTTTCCCCTAAAACTTAAGGAACATTTTCCTTTTTTTCTTATTAGAGCACCTGGGGAAATAAATAGAAGTTTGAACTTGAATATAAAATGCTAAATATTTTTTTCTGTGGGATTGATTAATTTCCTGTTCTTTATATTAGTTGATTTCTTTTACTGCATTTCTGCCTTATTCAAGAAAGTATAACAATGGGGATGAATCAGCTCCCTTTTCTCCAGTAGTGATTATAAAGCCAGAAGACTTAGATGTTATAATATAACTTCTCATATTTATATTTTGAGTTCTTTCAGTATTTGTACTATGAGGAATAGTAATGGTTATCTTGACTAGACTGTATATTCAGATTTCCATGGGCAAGTCAGTTCGTGAATACCTCAAAGTCATATAGTAGTCCCCAAACCAGTAATCCGTTGAGTTGACTAACCCTTACATTTAGATACTTAAGTGACATTATCGGCAGGGTGTGGAGCTCAACTTTTGTCACTCTTAATGGTTCATCAGTTGCTTTATCAATCTTTAAATGGAAATATTTTCTGGAAATACTCTGCTGTAATTCTCAAATGAAGACTCCAGAGAATTTATTAATGATAGTGCAGTCACCATTATTTTCACTACTAATTAGTTCACATCATTTAAACATTCTTCTGAAAGAAAAAAGTTTACATTCCTAAATAAGTTTCCTGCTTTTTGAAGGATAGCAAGGTCTTTTTAATAAGTCTTTGCTTGAATCCTACCTTCTATGTTTAGTAAAAGATTTTGGAGTTACCTCTGGGATTCTTTTATAGGACTTAAAACACCAAGTATTGTTTCTCAGGGTTGCTGTAACATTACCACAAGCAGGTGGCTTAAAACAACAAGGATTTATTCTCTTATATCTCTGGATCCCAGAAATCCAAAATTGGCAGGCTTGGTTTCTTCTGGAGCCTTGAGGGAGAATTGTTACTGTTCCTCTCACTTAGCTTCATTTGGTTCTGGCAATTTTTTTTTTTTTTAAGATTTTATTTATTTATTGGACAGAGAGACACAGCGAGAGAGGGAACACAAGCTGGGGGAATGGGAGCGGGAGAAGCAGGCATTCCGCGGAGCAGGGAGCCCGAGGCGGGGCTCGATCCCAGGACCCTGGGATCATGACCTGAGTCGAAGGCAGACGTTTAACGACTGAGGCACCCAGGTGCCCCTGGTTCTGGCAGTTCTTGATTGTTCCTAGGGTTATAGACAAATCACTTTAATCTCTCCCTCCATCTTCACATGGCATTCTTACCTGTCTTTATTGTCGGTCTACATCCCACTTAAAAAAAAAAAAAAAAGATTTTATTTAGTTACTTAACAGACGGCGAGAGAAGGAACACAAGCAGGGGAAGTGGGAGAGGGAGAAGCAGGCTTCCTGCTGAGCAGGGAGCCCCATGTGGGGCTCGATCCCAGGACCCTGGGATCAAACCCGAGCCGAAGCCAGACACTTAATGACTGAGCCACCCAGGTGCCCCCAAATCCCACTTTTCTTTTAGGAACATCAGTTATTGGATTAGGGCCTATCCTAATCCAGTATGCTTTTATTTTAACTTGATTATATCTGCAAAGTCCCTATTTCCAGATAAGGTCATATTCATAGTTACAGGGGTTAGGAGTTCACCACCTCTTGAACATCTCAACACTGTATCTACCTCACTACAAATAATAAGATGGTACTACACAGGACTAGAATTAGATGGTAATTTGTCTAACTTCTTCATTATTTTTCTTGTTTCAGACCAATGAAGTGAATCAAGGTGATGCCTTAGAACATAATTTTAGTGCCATATATGGTGCATTGACTTTACCAATAAACCATATTTTTTCAGTACAGAAATTTCCAGTGGTAAGGCAATGTCAAGTTTTTTACTTAAGGAATTTACATTTTTTTGAAAATGCTCTTTGACCCTTTATAATGAATTCCTACAGTAGTTTTTCCTGCAGTGAGATTTCCTTATGACTTTTAATCAGCTTAGGGTAAAGGAAAATGGTGAAGGAAGAGAAATTCCTCTTGACCTTTGATAATTGCTGGTATTGTGGCATTATTGTAATTCTTCAAATAGAATTCTATAGGGGAGGCAAATTTACTACTCTACGCTAGTCTCTTCTATGACACCTTAAATGTTACAGTGGTTTTTTAAGACATATTCTGTTAGGTGTTTGATATGTAGATATACATTTTTAAATTTTCTTTTTTATTGTTATTTTTAGGCCACCATGAAGACCTTACTTAGAACTTGGTCAGAATTATATAGAGCATTTGCCCGCTGTGCTGCTTTGGTGGCAACTGCAGAAGAGAATTTGTGCTGTGAGGAACTTGCTTCCAAGATAATGTCCAGTTTAGAAGATTCCGGCTTTTCAGTGAGTGTATCCCAGTACTGACCTTGGTTGTATTTAAAGAATACTTTTCAAATAAATTGAGATAACATTTGTGAACTGTCATTTATAAGTCTTCTAGTTTATAAGGTACTGATAATATAAAACAAGTAACAGCCTTATAAAACAGTTCTGTGTCTTTGGTCTACTTGACTCTGAGGTCCATGTTTTAGGACCCTTAACAGCCATGCACTTTTACTACTGTGTGGCGTATCTGCCTGTGCCTGTGCCATTCTAGATTAACAGTATGAGGACCTTGCCCAGGAGCCAACTCTCTCATGTCTATCTCTTAGATCTTTAAAGGCAATCCTTTGGAAGTTTGTGGGCCTAAAAAAGTAGGTCCCATTTCACTCCTTTATTTATTAAAACAAAACAAAACAAATACTTTCATTGGTTTGTATCATTCTAGAATAGAGCTCTTTTTTGTATTTACACAGTTTACATATGTACATGAATACGGTTCTTGACACTTGAATTCTATTACTAAAGCATGCTTTTTTCATCTAGAAAGATAAACTTCTACCCTTTGATAGTGGTTATCACTGTTACAAAAGAGATACCTCTCAAGAGCTAGGAATTCATCTTTTCAGATTTTTTAATGCATTTATAATATCTTTTCAAAAATACTGGCACAGTTTTGATTGTTACATTTTGATAGAATTTCAGAGTGACTTAAAAAATGTAAATCAGATCCTATCACTGAAAAAACTTTTGTAGCACTTAGATTAAAAATTTTGACTGCTTATAACTGCCCATGAGGCTTATGCTTCCATTCCCCAGGGGGTCTTATTTAATTACATTTGTTAGTATCTATCATGGCACCTTGTTATTTACTTTTTGGCACTTATGTTAGAATCATTTGTGTACTTCATTATGTTACTTAACCAACACTCCATGAGGTTAGGGACATCCTGTCTTGATATGTATCCCTGGAATTTATCTGGCACATAGTTGAATTTGTTGAATGACTTGTATAACTGGTAGGGAGAATGTCGACCCATAGTTTTCATTTTTTAAATACTGTCTTGGTTATGCTTTCATCTTTGTTCCCTTCTGGAAGAAATTTAGAATCTGTCAAGTTTTATGAAATACACTTTAGATTTTTGCTTGGCTTGGTTGGTTATATTAAATTCATAGAGAAATTTAAAAATACTTTTACATCTTTATTTCCATCCAGGAATAATTGTGTTCGTGTATTTTAGTTCTTTTAATCTAACTTCCTTAATATTTGGTAGTCTTGAAGCTGTCTTTCAGCTATTATAAAGGCCCAACTATCCCCACCCATACAGAAACCCTGTGTGGTTGCTGTTGGAGTATATAAAAGCTGTTGCTGATGTGCATTTCCTTTTATTGAACCAATCTTGTGTTCTTCGGATACACATAGTCGTAGTGAAAGTTTTTTCAAACATTGCATATAGTGTTTTAAGATTTTTGCATGTATCTTCATTAGTGAGACTGGAATTCCTCATTCTCAAATTTTTGTCTAGTGTAAGAAGAATGTCGTATCTATACTTGTATTGTCCATTGATCATCACCATTTTTAAAGTCACTGATAAATCTTGTATGAAAATACAGTAATCAGAATTATCCCAGTATTATGGAAAAGGATGTTATACCCGATAATACTAACATTGTATGTGAACTATAAATTTTAAAAATTGAAAAAAATAAACATAAAATAATTTATGAACTCATTAAAAATTCTGAAAAGATGGATTTCTAATTTTTTAAATTTTCTGTGTCTTTATATCTTGAATATTTTTGTTTCCATTTTATGGGTAATTTTTTAGCTTATATGTGAAGGCTTCACTTTTCATCTTTTCCAATACATGCATGTAAGACTATTATTGCTGCTATCAATTATTATAGATAAATATTAATTGTAAATACAGTATGTATTATAATTGATATTATATTTATGTATTTATAATTTATAGGACAGCATTTATAAATATACTTTGCATTACAGATTCTATTATAAATGTAATTATAAATATTAATTTTAAAATTTTTGTTTTAGCTCTAATATAGTTAACATGCAGTGTTAAATTAGTTTCAGGTGTACAATATAGTGATTTAACAATTCTCTACATTAATTACACAGTGCTCACCATGATAAGTGTACTCTTGATCCCTTTCATCTGTTTCACCCATTCCTCCCACGTACCTCCCCTCTGGTAACCATCAGTTTGTTCTCTATAGTTAAGAGTCTGTTATTTGGTTTGTCTCTTTTGTTGTTTGTTTTGTTTCTAAAATTCCATATATGAATGAGATCATATATTTGTCTTTCTTTGACTGACTTATTTCACTTAGCATTATACCCTTTAGATCCATCCATGTTGTTGAAATGGCAAGATTTTATTCTTCTTTATGTCTGAGTAATATTCCATTTTATCCATTCATCTATTGATGGCCACTTGGGCTGCTTCCATAATTTAGCTATTATAGATAATGCTGCAGTAAACATCGGAAGGCACTTATCTTTTCGAATTAGTGTTTTTGTATTCTTCAGGTCAATACCAGTAATGGAATTACTGGATCATACGGTAATTCTATTTTTAATTTTTCGAGGAACTTCCATATGGTTTTCCAGAGTAGCTGCACCAGTTTGCATTCCCACCAACAGTGTACAAAGTTTCCTTTTTCTTCACATCCTTGCATGCTTGTTGTGTTTTTAGTCATTCTGATAAGTGTGAGGTGATATCTCATTTAGTTTTGATTTGCATTTCTTTGATGATGAGTGATGTGTAGAGCATTTTCTCATGTGTCTGTTGGCCATCTGTATATCTTCTTTAGAGAAACGTCTTTTCATGTTTTCTGCCTGTTTTTAATTGGATTATTTGTTTTTTGACATTGGGTTTTATAAGTTCTTTATTTTGGATGCTAAACTTGTATCAGATATTTTGTTTGCAAATATTTTCTCCCATTCCATAGATTGCCTTGTAGTTTTGTTGATTGTTTGCTTTGCTCTGCAGAAACTTTTTTTTATTTTGATGTAATCTCAATCATTTATTTTTGCTTTTGTTTTCCTTGCCTCAATAGAAAAAATGTTGCTATGGCCAATGTCAGAGAAATTACTGCCTGTCATCTCTTGTAGAATTTTTATGGTTTCAGGTCTCATATCCAGGTCTTATATTTTGGTCCTAAGATCCATTTTGAGATTATTTTTGCATATGGTGTAAGAAAGTGGTCCACTTTTATTCCTTGGCGTGTAGTTTTCCAAACACCATAGTCTTGCCCCTTTTGTCAAAGATTAATTGACTATAGAATCATGGGTTTGTTTCTGGGCTTTCTGTCCTGCTTCATTGATCTGTATGTCTGGTTTTGTGCCAGTACCATACTGTTTTGATTACTACAGATTTGTAGTATATCTTGTTATTGGGAATTGTGATACCTTTAGTTTTGGGCTTTCTCAAGATTGCTTTGGCTATTTGGGGTCTTTTGTGGTTCCATTCAAATTCTAAAGTTGGTTATTCTGTGAAAAAGGCTGTTGGGATTTTAGTAGGGATTGCATTAAATCTGTAGATTGCTTTGGATAGTAAGGACATTTTAACAATATTTGTTCTTCTAGTCTGTGTGCATGGAATATCATTGCATTTGTTTGTGTCATCTTCAGTTTCTTTCATCAGTGTTTTATACTTTTTAGACGTCAGGTCTTTTATCTCCTTGGTGAAGTTTATTCCTAGGTATTTTATTATTTTTGGTGTAATTGTAAATGGAATTGTTTCCTTAATTTCTCCATTATTTGTGTATAGAAATGAAACGGATTTCTGTATACTGATTTTGTATTCTGTGACCTTACTGAATTCATTTATCAGTTGTAGTAATATTTTTGGTGGAGTCTTTAGGGTTTTCTTTTTTCTTTTTAAGGGAGAGCAGAAAGCGTGAGCAGGGGTGGAGGGGTTCAGAGGGAGGAAGAGCGAGAATCCCAGGCAGATTTCACACTCAGGGTGGAGCCCAGTGTGAGGCTTGAGGTCATGACCTGACTCGAAATCAAGAGTCAGATGCTCAATCAGCTGAGCCACCCAGGTGCCCCATGAATGATTTTTATAAATGTATTTTTAGATTCCTTTTGCTAATATTTTGTTGAGGATTTTTGCATCTATGTTCATCAGATACTGGTCTATAGCTCTCTTTTTCCATAGTATCTTTATCTGTTTTGGTATCAAGGTAATGCTGTCCTCATAGAATGAATTTGGAAGTGTTCTCCCTCTTCTGTTTTTGGAATAGTTTGAGAAGAATAGTTATTAACTCTTTAAATGTTTGGTAGAATTCATCTGTGATGTCATCTGATCCTGGACTTTTGTTTTTTGGGAGTTTTTTGATTACTGATTCAGTTGCATTGCTAGTAACCATTCTGTTCAAATTTTGTTTCTTCCTGATCAGTTTTGGGAGGTTATGTTTCTAGGAATTGATCTATGTTGTCTGATTTCTTGGCATATAATTTTCATAATATTCTCTTACAATCCGTTTCTGTGGTGTCAGTTATTTCTCTTTATTTTTTTTTAAGATTTATTTAAGTCAGAGAAAGACAATTATCATAGGATCTCACTAGTATGTGGAATTTAAAAAACAAAACAGGTTCATAGGGGAATAGAGGAAAAAATAAAACAAGATGAAATCAGAGAGGGAGACAAACCAATAAGAGACTCTTAATCATAGGATACATGGTTGCTGGAGGGGAGGGGGTATAGGGATGGGGTGGTGGCCGGGTGCTGGACATTAAGGAGGGCATGTGATGTAATGAGCACAGGGTATTATGTAAGACTGATAAATCACTGACCTCTACCTCTGAAACCAATAATACATTATATGTCATTTAATTGGATTTAAATTAAAAAAGACTTAAAAAATAATAATGAAGAATTTTATGAACCATTTTATGCCAGTAACTTTGTTAATCTTAATGAAAGGGACAAATTCCTTCAACGACAACTAGTATTAAAGCTCAATCAGGAAGAAATAGGTAACTGTAAGAACCTTAT